AAAAAAAAAAGAAAATTGGCTAACCACGTTGCTCCGTGAGGCGATATATCCCAGAAATGTCAGAGCGCGCATTTGTGAGTTGTAAAATTCATCCGCTAGCGATGAGCTAAATGAGGCACTGGTACGCTGATCGACTGGGATCGACAATATCATATACTGTACCAATGCTGAGGCTATTTCCACTAGCTGTAAAACTTATGGTTCAATTTTTATAGTTTTACAGTAATTTTTTTGGATTTCGGCCGTCCCGTGTTTTCCACGGCTTGGACTGGTTGTTGCTCCAGAACGTTTGATTCGGTCTATCAACGGCCCAAAAAAATCTTTTTCAATTTCACCCAGTTCGATCGCCTGACTTGGACCGTCCATTTTTCATTCGGCCATCTAATGGCCCTTACATTAGTTTAGCATCACTAGATTATTACAATTGGGCAAGATGTTCCAGAACTATATATTTTATAATGGCACGCATGGTATTGAGGTTTTGAACTCGGGGATCATGGTACAGAGGTTTGAATTCTTGGCGCCGAAATGAATAACTTGGGGATCATGAAAGCTGGGAAGCTGAAATTTCAGAATAGTGCTCCAATCGTCATATAAATTCAATCCTTGTGCATGCCTAAGTCTCAGATGTGAATGCGTGAAAGTTTTGGCACCAAAATTGATAATTCTGGACCACAAAAGCTAGGAAGCCGAAATTTTACGGGCATGTCCCCTTCCTACATGCGAACCACAAAATTTAAATTCAGCTTTTTTTATTTCATTATCACCCCTCATGTACCACAACTCTGACATTCCTATTTGGAATGGCCACTTCTTGGTCAGGCCTCCATAGCCCCTTCTTCCCTTTCTGTTTCGCCATCAAGAAAGTTCCATTCTCTATACAGTTACCGGTTTTTCCTGAGTTTTTTTTTAGTATTTTAGCCTGGCAGCGAAAAGGTTGACAATTTTTCTTGAATAATTAACATGTATACAAATCTTCTGGCCCGTAAGGTGCTTCAATTGTGACCTGGGAAAAGCCAGCTTATAATGGAGTGGCACTTCTCAAAAAAAGCATCTCGTAAGGCTAAGGCATATCCAAGTGGCTCTAAGGGGGAGAAGGGGGAAATCGCTAAGCCGACGAACTCTTCAGGTGATGAAACGAACGCTAGAACCGCCACGGAGATGTTATGCCAAAAAAAAAATTTCTAATCCTCTAACCATCCTGTAAAAAAAAGAAAAAATACTCAACAAATGTTAAAATTCGCGAATTTTGGGTCCCATGCAAATCCAGCTACAATTCTGGGTATTTCAACAGATAAAAAGAGCTATGTTAAAATTCTGGAAAAATTTATGATTTAAAAAAAAAAGAGGGGGATATATCATACCTCACTTTGCAAGTTATTTCGATGAATCTGGAACAGAATGATAAGAAACATTGGCACTTCGGATAAAACCTTTACACTCTGCGATCCACGTGGTATCAGCGAGTAAGCGTCACGCTGTGCACCATCACCGGAACTACTTTCCGGAAGATAGACGACCGATGATGTGAAGCAATTTTGAAGTGACTGAAAATCGACTCAACTCATAAACAGTACAAAGCAAATTTTCTCTAGTTATTGAGGAAATTTGAAGAATTTTCCTTTTTTTAACAATTTGGGGAATTTTTCCTCCAGTCCTCTATCGCTCCAACTTCGTTAATAATCACCTGAGAAGACTTAAACATTTCGATAATCCATGGGAAAATCTACACTGGCTATGAAAGAACCATGATCTTTTGGCCTGAAAAACGTGGAGAGAGGCGCCAAGAAACCGAAAAAGTGGACGAATTTTCGATTTTCGACATGAAAAACTTTACCGATTCAATGTCGCTA